GAGAGAGAGAGAGTTGTGACTTGAGACTTGACGACATTGGATCCAGACTCGACCTTTGGGATTCAGACATTTCGACGAGGGACTATTTGGGCCTGTGCTGAACACTTGGTGTTGACGACATCCCCATCTTCCCCTCTTCTTCGTCTAACCCCCAATCTCCTTCGTCTGTGTATGTTTGGGGCTGGCGCAGTCTTCCTGTGTGAAGCGCCAGACCCCTTCACACCATGGAATGAGGATGATGATGTACGTTTGGGGCTGCATTGCAATATTGATTGTTCGGATCATTGGTATCTAAGTCTTCCGCTGTGCTATTTTATACTTTGTATTGAAAGGTCGGTTCTTGTTCTGGTCTGCACCTATACGGTATGCAACACTACTCCTGAGGAGAGTCAGCAGTGCACCACGTGCTCCAACGCATCAGACCTCTGATAGCCCAGACTGCTTTGAATCCCAGAGAGTCAGAGCGGACAGCGTTGACCCCAGTCCGGTCAGCGCTCCGAAGGTCTGGCTATGTCCACCGTCTCCACCACGGGAATCAGCAACCACGACCTGATACCGTGCGCACAGCAACTTCCACCACGAAGTGTCAACTGCCAAAAAGCCCAGGACCGATGTCCCCATCCTATTTATACTCTACTACTAGCCTAGACCGACCTAGACCAGACTGAGTGACCGACCGGTACCGTTTCTGTTTCGGCCTCTAGGGCCTCTCCCTACCCGGCTATAGGCTATAGGACCGTCTATCAGCGTAGGCCCATAGGGCCTGTCTGTCCTAGGGGTAGCCCGGGTCCGCTATTCGCAGTTAGGGTAGCTGTAGGAAAATCGAGTTAGTACTGGGCCCATATTTCTATATTTACAGATATGTCCCTCACGAATTTTCCATACAGGCAGGTCTGTCGGTTAGTCCTCAGCCAAACAAAATTACGAATCTGTCCCTACCTAGAGTACAGCCTCGTCAGAGATAGGCTACAGGCAACCTGGAACCAGCAAGTCATTGCACCTGCGCACACCACCTTTCTCACATCCCTACCCCTCCTGTGTGCCCAAAACACCATTCTCCTGTGCATTACACACAAAACCTGCAGCAGGTGGACAGCTTGTGCCAACTCCTGCCAAGTAAACTCAATGACCATCTCATCTCCCAGCCTTCCACATGGCGGTCTAGTGCACCTATATCCACAATACTTTTGCAATTTTGAATTTTTACCTGTGCTGTGCAACATGATTGACCCTTCTTCTTCTTCTTCTTGAAGTGTGCAAAAATGAGAACAATGTGTTCGCCATGCCCAAAAGTCAACGACTGTCATGGACTGGAAATTAGCTTCAATGAGTCTTATCCCACTAATAAACCCCTAGCACTGATGCTATGTAACAGACTCGATCACACTTTTACAATCCGAGCGAATTTCGAATAGGCGAACTTCGTTGTTGTTTTTTTCAAGTTGTACACGTTCAGGGTAGGGCAGTTAGCATTTCAGCTCAAGAGCGCAGGTACCAACCCACCTCACCTCAGGGTTAACGGCCAAGAGTATCCCGCACCGGGAGACCTTTACGGTACCCAGTCGCACAGGCATCACCCTCGCTCCCCCAGAGGTGCTGCGAAGGACATTTTTCCTTTCCGGTCATCAAGCAATCTTGACTGTGTCTGGTATTTTGGAGTTAAGGGCAAGGATCGTGATGGAAGAGCAATGGGGGAGGTTTCTGTGCTGCATGGGGTGGTTTTCAATGACAAGAGACAGATCGCTTGTTCTTGGTCAATATTATTTTTCAAACATCCATCACTGATTAGTAATACAATTTATACCAACCATGAAATGACTTATCAAGTTGTTATTTCGCCATCAGGTTCTCAGACTTTCTCTTCAGACATTCAGTCTACTTTCGTTACCAGGGTTTTGAACCAGCCACTGCCAGTAAGCAGAATTTTGAATTTACCATGTCAGAAACAGCTGTGTATGCAAAGATAACATCATTGCCATATGAATGGCACGACACCTGGTCCAGCACATTTGAGTACCATGAATTCTTGCTGTTGTCTTGATAGTCAAAAGGAATGCCAGGAATGACTTTTGGGTCACTGAACCTACTGCCACACTTCCTACACACGTCTGCATAACAAACAGGTCAGAGCGACAAAAGCAACAAAAGCCAAACAAAATGGCAAGGATAAGAAGATAAGAAGATAACCTTCCCACATGCATGAATGGTATACAATAAGGTTAGGTGCTAGTACCGTGCTACCCCATTTTATGAAAAAAGGTAAGAATGAGAAGCTGAAAAACACAATCATGATGAGCATGAATACATTGGAGATTTTTTACATCAATCACCCAAAAATAGGATCGAATTCGTTTTCAACTTTGCAATAACAAGGGGATGCCTCCCGTCAATGCGGCGGAGGCGCCGAAAAAAAATAATTAGAAAACCGCATTGCCAACATCAGACACAGTTTGGCCCTTGGTATGGGCAGGTAGCACCATGCAGGTGTGGCCTAGCATGTGGGTCGTCCTTCCATCAGGCAGGGCTCCTACGTGCCTGTAGTAGAATAAGCTGTCCTCCCATCAGGCAACGCTCCTATGTGACGTTGTCGTACCAAATACCCTTACAAGGGTATTTGGCGTGTTTTCTGCAAGTCACATTAGTGCAGCCTCGTCCGCTCGACGACACGCGTACAGGAGGGAGTTAGGCCTCGGCAGGGTGAGCGGTGCGCGCGGGGCATTGACAGCGAGGCGCGACCATGCGAGGCTTGGGTGTGCGCGGCATCGCAGGTCGGCCCGTTACCCTTTTGTGTTTCCCCACGTCAAGCTTTATTTTTGTTAATTATTCCATTTATTGTTATTATTTATTTTATGGTCACGCATGCATTTGCTGATAATCAGTTCTGAGGCCGATGCCGGGCACAGTGGGCGATACGGCAGTCGAAGACCTAGAGCAGGCTCATCGAGACTCCGGCGTGATCGGGGGGGGGGGGGGGCTCACACAAGCCTACCCGCGTCGGGGCATGGACCGAAGAGATTGACGTGGGTGAGAGCGATGAAGTCCGTAGTCGTCGCTTCCCTTTGTGATTCAATTGGAAAGCGTCGATAGCCTAAAAGTGGGAGGGAATTGGAGGACATTCTAAGTGTTTTGGTGTGAGCACACCCGGTCCCACTGGCTGTTGCGGGAAAAGGGAGTGAGCAAGCCGTTGGGACCTGAAAAGTAGGAAGTAAGTGTTGGGCACAGTGGGTCAGGGGACGGCAGCACTGTGGCCCAGTTCATATGTGAGAGTACCAAGGTCTGCACGGGGGACGGCAGCACTGTGGCCCTGTTCATATGAGAGAATACCAAGGTCTGCAAGGGGACTCTCCTTTACCCAGGCCCATGCTGCAGACTTGGCAGCAGGCCCATGCCCTCATACTCACGGCATTGCAGCGCTATCGGGGAGTGCTACACATTCCTTAGCGGACTACGGCTGTGCGACCACCGGCTTAGTGGATTTCGGCTGCGCTACCACCAGCCTGTTGTCTGTGTCCGGCGACACAGGTCCAGTGTACAGGTTAACGCACTGTTAGTGTCAGAGGGGTTGAGGGCGAGCCCGGAAGGAAATCTGCGCAAGGGGGCACTACGGGGTTCGCTACCGTCGGGAGCAGCGTTGGCTGAAGGAGCAAGGCGGGCGGTTGCAGAGATGAGGTGAGCGCAGGTAGGGAGGAGAAGTGCAAAGCGAGGCAGCGCGGTTACGGGCACTAAGGCACTAGGAGCGACGAGCAGGAAGGGCAGAGGGGAACAGCGGGTGCGGAAGCTGTAGAACGGAGCGAGGTGCCAAAGAGGGGAACGAACCCGGGCTGGAAAGTGCGCCGGGTGCATGTAAGAAGTACGGGCTATGGCCGAAGCTGGAGGGAGTGCAAAAAGGTGAAAACCCACCCGATTCTTGATGAAAACGGGCGGGGGAAGAGTCAATCTGGAGGTTTTTTGGGCAGGGGTTAGTTTTAGCTAAAAGTTAGTAGGGTGAGAGGTCAGTGAGAAAACTGCTGCGCGGAGCTATGGAGGAAGTGTAAACGAAAGGGAGGAAACGGGGTTTTCTCGCTCATTAGTGGGCGGAATCGGGCAAGGGGAGGCTCAATTTGGAGGTTTTGGGCCTGGGCGAGTCTATTAGTAAGGTTAGTTTTGCTAAGAGATTAGTAGGTTAGGAGTAATGGAGAAAGAGCACTGCGCTCAGCTATGGCGGAGGACGGAGAAGTAGTCAGGTGAAATCGTCGATCTAACCCGTTTTTGTATGAAAACGGGCAAACGGAGGCTTGAGTTTGGGGTTTGCAGGCGTGGCGAATCTGATGGTAGCATCAGATTCCGCGTTTGAGTAACGGGTCAGGCTACATCATTGGTAGGGGCTGCGCGGTATGTAGGCAGAGGCAAAGTAGAAACATTTAAATAAATACTTCCGTGTTCTAACGGAAGATTCATTCTAAGTCTGCGTATTAAAAGGTTAGAAGAGTCAGACCGTTTGCAATGCGTTTTTGTTCCTTTCGGCTGCTGGCCTTCGCCACAACGGTTTCGGGCCGTGGTCACGTGTCCGCCGCATTCTCTCAGTGTCTTCTCGTGAGCTGGTCTCGTTGATGACCAGGTGCATGGACCCATTCGGGCACGGTTGCTTGGAATGGACATGCTCATTGTGAATCATTCCACACTCTGGGAGAAGACTCACTTTCAGAATAGCGAGCTATACGAGGTAACTAAGCACGAGAGAGAGAGAGAGAATGGAAACTTTCGTTGTCAAGCAAGGGGATTGGAGACTTACCTCTTGCCCAGTGCGTCGCTCAGAAATGTTGATCGGAGCAGTTTCGGCTGATCTCGCTGCAGACGCCGCTTGGGAAAAACACGATGTATCATGTAGTCGTGTTATAGCGGGGGATTCCGATTTCTTTTAAGAGGCGCAGATGTCTGCATAAGAGAGAGAGAGAGAAAGAGAGAGAGAGAGAGAGAAAGAAGCTTACCTCAAAGGCGGACCAGCGGAGCGGGGTGGATCGGAAGATTCCCGATGCCCTGCTGATTTTTGAAGTTGCTATACTAGAGTTATTGGGTTATTGCGCTAATACGAAGCCCCGTGCTACCGACGAATAAGCTCACATGCAGCTTAGCACCGGGTGCGTTGGCCGGCGTATACACTGCAGGTAAGGTTGTGTGAGCAACAAGGTTGAGTATCACGGTCGCTATCTTCACAGCTCGTTCTACTTCGCGGACAGTCAGAGACTTACCTGTTAACCTGTGCGTTGCTCGGCCACCTGATCAGGCTGAAGCCGCGAGAAGACCAGGTGCAGGTTGTAGGCTCACCTGGGGGTTGTGGGCTGCTCGTCCCGTTGAAACAAGGAGTGAGCCGTAGGGCGCGGGAACTTACCTGCCGATGCCACGGAACGCACTCTGCAGCACGAAGTGCCGGGTAGCCAGTTGAGGGACTGCTGGGTCCGTTTGTTTTGACTGGCAGTGCTACTAGTTGTTGAAGAAGGCAGCAGCAAGGCTAGCTGTGAAGCACGGGGCTATCATCACCTGCGGCATGAATGTGCTAAGCTTATGTAACGCGCCGCTGTGGACTTCTACTGCTGTGGGTTGTTGCTGGGTTTTGCTTCTCTCTACTTCAGTTTTGTTTGCTGCCAGGCAACTGCCGCAGGGTTTCCACTAATTAGTGGGGTATAAACTGTTGGTTGCGTAATGGTGGTTTGACCAGAACTGGTGATGCTGACGTAAGAGGGAGTGATTAAGCTCTGCAAAAGGGGTTCATTGCGGCAAGTTGGAGAGTCGTCAGTAGGAGTTGTTTCGACAATTTGACGTCGGTCTGACTAGCAGCTGCGAGTTCAGCCATCATTGCGGGGCCCTCAGGCGATGGAAGGTAACAAGGCCCTCTTCTGGGAGTTGAGTTGTCCCCCTCCTGTATCTCGAGAGTCTGAAACCCCTTATCTTCTGCCCTTCTTACTCTCAGTCTAATCCTGGTTACGAGAGGAAGGCGGCAGGCGGGATTGCAACCCGTAGGACCGCAGGAAGACTCTGTGGGGAGTCAGCCCACCGATTGCGGGAGCTCTGTCGGAACTGAGGAGGAGTTCTGGAGGCAGGGAACTGAGAGGTAATCATTGTTTTCCATCTATAAACCCAGTATAGCCCCTACTTGTATTCATTAGTATGTCTGACTGAGTATGTTGCTTGTCTCCCTATTTTGACTTTCATTTTGACCTTCAGGACACAATCCAGACTAAGTAAAGGAATAATTGTGCAAATTCAGTTTCAGGTTTGTTGTTTGACTGAAAGCAGATCGTGAACAAAGGGGGCTGCATCTGGGGGAAGGTTGGGAGGAAGGCAGTATTGCATGAGTTTTGACTGGGTCATTAAAGCTGGGAAGTCCCCATAAGTTTTGAGAGACCCAGTGCTGTGTTTATTTTGGATTGCGTGGAGCATCAAACCATTCCATAAGTTTGGGTGGTCTAATTGCTCTGAAGGCTGGGAAGTCCCCATAAGTTTGGGGAGACCCAGTGCTGTGGAATTGCATGAAGAGTCAGACCATTCTATAAGTTTAGGTGGTTTGGTTGCTCTGACTCGTGAGGGCTAACTATGATTGACTTTTCAGGAGCCAAGCACATTGTGTAAGTTCAGGTGGCTTGGTTGCCTTGTTTACTTGGGCTTTCTCGGTTTCTTTGGTTCTGAACGAGGAGGCCTGAGCCATTCTATAAGTTTAGGTGGTTCAGCCTCTTCCTGCTTTATTATGAGGGAGTAACTTTGACAGAGAGTCAGGCTATTCCATAAGTTTGGGTGGCTTCGACTCCATGCCACGCACAGATTAGATCAGAGCGGAACCAACCAGGCAGAGAGTCAGATTATTCTATAAGTTTAGGTATTCTGGCCCAATGCCTCGCACATGCTGGAACCCGAAGGTTATAATTTGGCTATACTTTATTACTATCTTATTTAAGAACAGGTTAGTCAGAATATTCTATAAGTTTAGGTAGTCTGACTATAGCTTATCACAATCTGAAGAGAGTATAACTAAGAGTATAGCTTAGAGTAACTTGGGCCGACTGAGCATTGTTTCTAAGACGAATGGCTAAGTCCTACGCCCGCTTTGAAGATTAAGTTCAAAGAGATATATACAACCTAGCTATTAAACAGTTCAGGGCGACTAGGATGGCCTAGTCATATGCTCAAAGAAGAGAAAAGTTGTTGTGCCCTCTGTTCTGTGTATACTCAATGGTTGGGTCAGGCATGTCCCATAAGTTTGGGTGGCCTGACTTTACACCTTATGTAAGTTGGGTATAAAGGGTTAAATCATTGAAAGGCTATGAACTATTGCTTGATAAATTTGACTTTGGAGATGGTGAGAGTACTTACCTTTGTGGTTTGGCCTGCATGTGACTGATTGCGACTACTATTTAGTCTGAGTTTCAATTTGGTAGGTAATTGCTTTAGTTGCTCGCCACGTGCTAGAGTCATAGGAGTTAGTTTCAATTCCTGCATTTTCTGAGCTAAGTTTGTTTTTACTTAGGTCAATTTTTGCATTTTCTGGGATCTTTTATTATACTTGGTCTTGTATAAATCTTGGTAAGCCACTTTCTCTACGGGAAGCGCTGCCGAAATTTCTAAGGAGTTAGTCAGATTTTGTCTTTTCAAAGTTCAATTTGTCTGACTTTTTTGGCTTAGTAAAAATCTGGAGAGTCTCCGTTTCTAAAGGGAGTGTTGCCCAAAGTTTTGCTAATTCAGGGAGTTAGATAAAATTGGACTTTGGGAGGTCAAAGTCATCTTTAGATTCTGAACTTGGCTTCGTATAAATTTTGGTAAGCTACTTTCTCTACAGGAAGCGCTGCCGAAATTTCTGCAAATCCAAGGAGTTAGTCAAAATTTGACTTTTCAAAAGTTCAACTTGTCTGATTTTGATATATGGCTTCGTAAAAATCTGGGAAGTCTCCTTTTCTAAAGGGAGTGCTGCCCAAATTTTTGCTAATTCAGGGAGTTAGACGAAATTGGACTTTGGACGGTTGAAGATTATTTCTGTTTTCATATTCAGGCTGATATGAATTCTGGAAAGACACTTTTCTTACGGGAAGTGCTACCGAAATTTTCTTAGATTAAAGGAGATAGATTATATTTTGACAGGTAGCGACTCTCGTGATCCACTCTGTATGAGGGAGATTTTGCCATAGGTCAACCTTTCTTTGGGCACTGGCTTAGAGATAGACCTAGGCTTGGTTATCAGGAGAGTCTTGAGTAAGAACGTGTCATGGGGATTTGTTCTCCATACACTGATGATTTAACTTGGGCATTGACCTGTCGTATGATACAGGTCTTCTTTGGACATTCGATCCAGGATCCGGACTAGCTTCAGCTTGATCCCACGATAATCATCTTCTGTTATCACAGATAACAGGTCGGTTGGTTGATCGCCGACTTGTCGGCTCACGACACAACTTTGCTTACACCTGTACCTCAACTTGATTGCCTTAGCCCTGAGATTTGATATGTTTCTTTGAGGGTTTTAACCAGACTTCTTTTAATGGCCATTTTAAAGAATTTATGAGATTTATGGAAAGTTGAACTATGATCGGGGCTTGACTGTGTGAGGCATGGTGTGAGTTACAGGGAACAGTAAAGTTGACCACATTGGTGTATGGCAATGTGGCTATTGTGTGTGTCTGTGTTTTATGCAGGTTGATATTTTGGAGTTTGGTATATGGACCATACTTTGGAGACAGTGAGAATGACAACCATGTGTCGCACGATCTGGATACCTGATGGGTTTATGTTTCCCCCTTCCTTTATTTTATCTCGATATCTGATTTGATATATGAGTGTGAGGATGTTTATCTATTTATTGATTGATTTTGCTTGTTAATTTTTATAGTTGGACGTTGTAGTCTGTGGCAGCCATCAAAGTCAAACCCCTTGACTCCTTTCCTGACCCTGGATGATGGAGCTGGTCTCCAGGGCCATAAGAGACGATTGCCACTACAGGTATGAACCTGTGTACCACCCACTCTCCGCAGGGTGCAGAAGAGGGTGTGGTTCTCAACCGCACTTGGCGGTTGTCCAGCGTCGAGAGATCATTCCCTCAAGGCGCGTGTCAGCCGACACTTGAGTGTCGAATGCGACCCTCAAGATTAACGAGGATCGCATGAGTATGGGTACTACATAGTACGCCATCATTGCGACTGCCTGTGTATGCTTCCATTGCGAGTCGATATGAGTTAGCCCTGCGCCCGCGCAGTTTTATGCTAAGTCTCGCGCGCGACGCCTATCTGACTTCCGCATCAGAGAGTTATGGGACGGCTACTAAGGGACTAGGAGTGTTGTTGCGTTGTTTGTTCCGTGTCGTTCTGTATATGTATGTGTATGTATGTGTGTTTTTTTATTTTTATGTTCTATAGAGTGGTGTGCGCGTGGTGTATGGGATGCGTCCTAGTCGACCGGCGACGAGTCGCACTTGGGCCTCAGTCCCCCAAGATGCTGGTTCGCGTGCGGGTCCGATAGAGGCATACTACCGTGCGTACCCCCTATGCTACAGCGAACGAGAAACGCCCTCGGCTGGTCCACCTCTGCGATTGCACCTAATTAGCTTTCGTATTGTGGACTGGTAGCTCGGCGGGGATACGCCCACCGAAGGGAGGTGACAGTTCCCGTAAGGTGGAGGTAAGTCGTGCCTCGCGTAGGCCCTATCCTGTCGTACGGGCTCGCGAGAGGTATGGCTGGCGCACTCGGCCGGAGCGGCTTGCGGAAGCTCCATGTATATTCGCGACAAGGATTTAAACCGACTCCTGCGTGACGAGGCCGGGAGGGTCCCGAGCCGCCTTGTGCGGTGTCGGACCGATGCGCTCGACAACGTATCCTAATATGCCGGCTAGCCTTCCACCGGGGAAGGGCTCCTCTGTTGTACTCGAACATGTGGGGCTTCTTTCCATCTGGCAGACCTCCTACGCGCTCTTTTGTCCTTGTATTCGAACATGCGGGGCTTCTTTTCTTTTTTTAATGGGACAATGCTCCAATCTATTTGTGGGGAGCAACACGTGCAGCAAACCGGCCCCATTGTCCCTTTGAAAATATACAGAATAATATGAGATACCGGGGCCATTACCCGCCTTTGGCTGAGATCTTTTTGGGAAAAATAGTACTATTCATGAGAAAGTTGGAGAAACCTACTAGAGCATTCAAAAAAGCCACAACAAGCATACAAGAACCAAGATACCTGAGTGTTGCCTAACAGACCAAGCCGAAGCCCACCAAAGCTGTCCTATTCTGAAACAGGTCTCTACCAAGCTCACGCCCCCAACATGCTAAGTTACAGGGCAGCGCGACCCGCCCCAGCTCCGCCAAGCGTCGTCCTGGCGGCACTCCCGATTGGTCACAGCATAGTGAGGACCCAATCTAGTGTCAATCATGAGTCTGCCAATATGCATTTGAGCAAAGGAGTGCCTCGTAGAGGGGGGAATTCAACAGACTTGAGAGAAGATCGACCTCTTCCAACTATGAGACCGTCGAGTGTCTTTGTTTGTGTTTGAGTGTGTGTACATAAGTGTCTTGACGTTCAAGCTTTTTCACTCGCACACAAAAATATGAGTTCTTAATAGGCAAAAAAAACATGTAGCGGCAGGTCAGTCACACATCGAGTCCGAAAAGACAATTAAAGACGTGTTGCGCTTTCTAATAAGCGCGGATGTCATAACTACAGGGGCAGGCAGTGGTGCACAGAGGGCCTGAGTCTGAAAACAGACAAAATAAAACATTGCCATTAAAAAAAAAAAAAAAAAAAAAAAAACGCCATGTAAACCTATTTTTGCTTTTTTGCACATTCCAAACTGCCACCATAACATAAGTTAAAAAACTGCATTGAGAAATGGTCCTTTAAAATAAATTGAGACATCCATTAAAATTGGAACGATACAGAGAAGATTAGCATGGGCCCTGCGCAAGGATGACACGCATAAATCGAAAAATGGTCTAAATTATAAAAAAAAAAAAAAAAAAAAAAAAAAAAAAAAAAAAAAAAAAAAAAAAAAAAAAAAAAAAAAAAAAAAAAAAAAAAAAAAAAATTTAATTGCCAAACCAAAACTCAAACCTTTTTTTTTTTTTTTTACATAAACACCTGCAAGAAACTGCTAGGGACAATGATTAAAGCATGTGCCCCTAGCAAATCTTGCAGGCGGCTCCAGTCAATTGGTGGGGAGCATCACCTGCTGGAAACAGGGTCCAGCGTCCCATGAATATATCCAAGTTTATAGACATAGTCGTTTCTTTCAACTCACAGATCTGGGCTGTCAACGGGCATTAGTAGTCGACGATCTGGATTTGAGGCCGATCTTAAGTACGTCTAACCGGCCACTGACACAGTCGGCCTATCAATGGCTCACATCCATAAATTCTAACATTAATGATTTCTATAGTGGTGGGGCGGGGGAAGCTCTCTAAACTCAACATGGAAGGTGCAATGGATGCAAGGTTCTTTGCAATGGCCAAAGCAAAGTCAGGAAGATCGATAATTGAGGCCTTGGAAGACCCTAAATCATACTTGCAAGCGCACGCCATGCGGGCGGTTCCCTAAGTGCGGCGCACGCGCCCAACCGATCCCGAGCGGCGCATGACGTGTGCGGGGAACGACCCGTCACCCCCCTCAGAAAAAAAAAAGGTCGGGGTCGAAATGGTGCGTTTGAGGCCCCCCACCAAAATTACAAGCAAGATGAAAAAAAAAAATACACGAGTACTGCCTCACCTTGCTCCTCCTCCCCTTCCTCATCCTCCATGTATCCTCCTCCCTTCTCCTTTTCATCTCCTCCGACATGTCCTCCTCCTGTTCGTCCTCCTCTTCCTCATCCTCCTTGTCTCCTCCTCCTCCTCGTACTTCCTCATCTTCCATGCCTCCTTGTCTCCTTTCCTTTCTCGTGTCCTCCCCTTCCTCGTCATCCATGTCTCCTCCTCCTCCCACTCGTCCTCCTCCTCCTGCCCTTCCTCTTTTCCCTATGTCCATCTCTTCTCCTCCCCCCATCTCGTTGACGACTCCTAGTCGTCCTCGCTATCCTCGTCGTCCTCGCTATCCTCGTCGTCCTCCTCGTCCACATCCTCCTCCTCCTCTCCATATCCCCATCTTCCTGTCATACGGCCCCCCGTTCCCCCTCCCGGAAAAAGATAAAATAATAATAATGAAAATAAAAAACCTGCACGATTCTGCACAAGCAACCCCCGCACAGAACTCCGCACGAATATGCGGCTCGTGCGGTTGCAAGTATGCCCTAAATGCAACCAAGGCCCCTTACACACATCCACAACAGCCTGCACAAAAATAGCAAGGGACTTTTACCAGGCGATATTTCCCATCAGAATGCGGAAACTTACCTAGAGCACAACAAATGGAGGAAATTGAAGATTTTTTGTGCCCATTAAATAAAACTCTCACAGAGCAACAAAGAGATGGTTTAGACAAGCCTCTGATGAAGGATGAAATATGAATGACATTAATTCAAACAGAAGAGGAAAAGACCCTGGGCATAGATGGGCTACCCAAAGAATTCTGGGAGACATTGTAGACAAGCACCTCACAGGACTCCATGGACTACTACCACGTGGTCTGGGCAACAGGCCGAACAGGGGAAATAGTGAGTTAGGGAGTACTTATGCTCCTTTACAAAAAAAAGAAAGGACCAACATTAAAAATTACAGACCTATCACCTTGCTTACATTAGTTTATAAATTAATGACTACAACCGTGGCTAACCGTTTGGTACCAGTCATGACTGACATCATACAGCCTGACCAAACCGGATTCATCAGGGTAGGAACATCCAGGACAATGTCCTCCTAGTAAATGAAATGATCAAGCTAACAAGACAATCTAAGCATAATGCAACGATCATCTTCATTGATTTTGAGAAGGCATATGACCACGTGGACTGGTTGTTCCTAGATAAGTGTCTGAAAAAGCTTAACTTTGGATTGTGCTTCAGGCGTTGGGTAAGGACCCTACACGCGAACACAACGACTAGAGTCATGGTGAATGAGAATCTAGCCCCGCCCATTAACCTCCAAAGGTCAATCAGGCAGGGAGACCCCATAGCCCCTTATCTTTTCGTCATAGTCATGGAGGCACCGACACCCAATCTGAGAAGACATAACGATATCAAGAAAGTCCAAGTGTCTTCAATACCACAGGAAGCAAGTCCGGTCTGTTCATTGTTCGCAGACAACCCAACTTTAATGATCGAGGCATCCCAAGAATCAATGGCAGAGGTCCAACACATGATGGATCGCTTCTGTAGATTGTCTGATATGAAGGTCAACTGGGGAAACAAAACCCAACGATGGTGGATACACTACCAAGGAGTGAGGCCCCCTGAACAACCCAGGCTTAAATGGATTCCTGAGGAAACCCCCATTAGAGTGTTGGGAGCGTTGATGTCAACAGAAGGCAGACCATCTATTAACAATGAATGGATCAATAGTCCACCTCTGGAAAAAATGATACTTTGGAAGGACAAGCATACCTCACTTATTGGACAGTCTCTAATAATTAATAACGTGGTATTCACCTCCCTGTGGTATAAATCAGTTATTTGGGCATTAGACAAGAATGCCCTTCGCCCCTTGCAACATCACATAGCCGCCTTCCTGTGGCGAAGAAACCATGAGAAACACAATGTGATCAGCAGAGTAGCTTGACCATCTATAATCCAACCCAAAATGAAAGGTGGACTGGGTATTATCGATCCTTCAATACAGGCTAAAGCACTAGCGATACACTGGCTCAAACATCTACTTTTCAATCTTGAATCCCCTTGGAGGGGGTTAGCTTTGGAACAAATTACCCGCTTAGCACCACAAACATCGGAGGGGTGTGACCCGCTGATGTGGCTGGAAAACAGGGGATGGCCCATCCTAAGAAGAGGTTCACCGCAACGAGATCTCCCCCCCCCCCCCCCCTCACTCAGACAAGCAGCAAGGGCCGACTTGCGAAATGACCCCTTTTGGCCTAGCCTTCTGAAAATATGGAGAAGTCTTCCCCTACCGCATAGAACCTTGCCAGAACGATGGGAAGAGGTGGTTCGACAACCCCTTTGGAGTCGAAGGGTCAAACCCTCCACTGCATGGACTCCCCATGGCAGGGTTGGGTCAAGCGAGGAATAACAAGGATAAAAGACATATGGGATACAGAAAAGAGGAACTGGATTGACCTGGGACAGCTAAGGGAGAGACTACGCTACTGTCACTGACCGAAAGAAGCCTTAGAGGCCATAATAGAAAAGATCCCCCTACCCTGGTGGAGAATCCTCAAGAAAGGCCCCACCCTACAAGAATCGGACTGGGTGACATTGAGGGAACGACCAAGTGAGGTGGGCAACATAGTCTACTGCGAGCCCAACGGATCAGTAATAGTGAATCTCTTCCAAGTAAGTCGGAACAACGTCGTTCAAATAACCTCTTCGGAAGAAACAATAATATGCCAAAAGAGGAACTATTCAGAATCAGGGTGCTCCATGAAAGAGAGCAATGTATTGCCTACCTCCCCCGAGTCCCGATCCACCAACTCGCCCTGGACCCGTTAGAATGGACATGGACAACACCAGCGGCGAAGGGCAGGAAATTCACTCGAGAATTATATGGCCTAGCGGTCAAATTGACCTACAGGCTCCGCAGGCCGAGAATACACCTTCGTGATCGGGTGGAGTCACGCTGGATGAACCACCTAAACATTAATAAAGACAAACTAACAGAAATAAGGTGGTTCAGAATGACCAAGGAAAAAACAGCAAAATTTGCCTCACTACAATGGCAGATAGAGCACCGCTGCCTACCGATAAACGATTGGCTGATAGATAGAATGAGCCTGGAGCAAAAAGGGCAAGCCCTGCCCTGTTGTAGGCTATGCACCAATGCATTCCCATCCAGGAAAAGGCCAGAAACAATCGAACACATATTTCTTCAGTGCCAGGAGTGTTGTGGCTGTGGAGATGGTGGGGTATACTCTGGAACAATTAGAAACTCAGATCCAGTGGCCGTGGGACTGGAAGGCCTTGCTGTGCGAAGCCTGGCCAAAAGACCAACTGGATTATTTCACCAGCAACATGTTCAAACTAGGACGCAGGGCGGTGCTTTGGGCCCTCTGGCGACAATGCTGCACATATGAAATGGAAAGAGCAAGACTAAAGGGACCCGAATTCACGGAAAGCATACAACAACAACTTCAAACAGAAATAAATGCAAAATGGGAGGGGGTTAAGGCTCATATTCAATCCCTATACACACGAAAAGATATCCAACAAAAAATCCAGGAACTTAGCTTGAGCTGGCTTGGGTTGGACAACAGGGGGAGGATAGGGAAAGTGGAATGGAAAGGGGGACAAAAGGAACCAGGGGAGGGACAAGGGAGAAGGGATCTAGTGAGGGACTACCGGTATTCCGATGAAACCCAACGAAGAATTCCCCGATTTCTCCCCCCCCTCATCCAACTGCCTGAGGTAAAGAAGGAAAAGTGGAAAGGATATTACAACGATATCAGACGCTTGGGAAAGGAGCAAGGGTTTAGGGGTTTAAGGATTCATCCCAAAAAGGGAGAGTAGGTATGCAGAAAACTGGACAGCAGCATCCATCCGTCCCCCATGTCACAGGAAATGAAGCACTGGATTGGTCACTAAGATCTGGACCCACAAAGAGAGGAGGTGAAGAGGTTTTGTACGAGTCCAGAATAGCTCGAGACACTCTTGCACTTTCAGATGCTAGAGAAGTCCATAGGAAATACAGTCATGCTCTGCCAGACACCACAGACATCAACGATATCCATCTCATCATGTACTCATCCATTCATGTATTCAAGGGACACTGGACCTGTTTTTCAGCAGGTGATGCTCCCCACCAATAGATGGAGCTGTTTGTCCAAAAAAAAAAAAAAAAAAAAAAAAAAGACTGGTGGAAAAGATCTGTTAGAACTTAGGAAAGTTGGTTAGGAGGAGGTCCGACTTCTTGATGAACTGGACACGATTTCGACCTTTCAAGTTCAATCAAGTTTACATTTGCAGACGTTTCTGCACAATGGCACCATCTCAGACTCAAAATAGAAATAATACTGTGTTAAACTCCGGGCCGCCCGACGGCGCAGCCTCCGTCCCGCAGGGGTCCCGGGCGGCCCGGCCGGTTGGGTCCCCTGGTTTGACGTCGGGCGCGCCCAACGCATTTTTGCATGGGGGGGCGGGAAGGCCTTTTTCGATGTTTTTTCGCGCTTGGGAGCCTCCCCGCCCCCCCACGCAAATTCTTCCGCCGACTGCACATTCGTTCGGGCGGCCTTCGAATTCAAACGTCGAGTTCGTGCTGCCCGTCAAAGTGGTCTCGTCGCTGCCCATCGAAGAGGTCCCCGTCGCTGCCCGCCTTCGCCAAGGTGCCCGTCGTCGATGCCCGTCGTCACTGCCGCCGCCGCTGCCCGTTTCCCAGCTCGTCGTCGCTGCCCGCCGTCGGAAAGCTGCCCCATCGTCGTCGATATGGTACCGTTGCGCGAAGTGCCACGTGTCAGGCTCCCTCTCTCTCTCTCTCTCTCTCTCTCTCTCTCTCTCTCTCTCTCTCTCTCTCTCTCTCTCTCTCTCTCTCTCTCTCTCTCTCTCTCCTCTTCCTCTTCCTTCGTCATTTATTATTATTATTTTTTTCCGTCAACGGAACTCAAAATCGGCAGGTCCTCCTCCTCCTCTCTCTCCTCCTTCCCCTCCCTTCGTCTTCTTCTCTCCTCCTCCTCCTCCCCCTCCTTTCGTCTTCTTCTTGCCTCCTCCTCCTCCTCCTCCCTAAATATTCTTCTTCTTCTTCTTCTTCTTCTTCTCTTCTTCTTCTTCTTCTTCTTCTTCTTCTTCTTCGCATCCTTGGCTAGATTTGCCTGGGTGGTGGGTGGTAACTGGGGATCTTTGATCTCGCAAGTTTACCCCCACCAGGAAATTTCATAC